TTACAAAAAGGGAATTCTGACTAGATGTTAGGAAGAATTCCCCAATAATATAAGCTGTTCAACTGCCTCAGAAGATAAATTCTCCATTGATTTTTTTTTGTTGTTTTTTTAAAAAGCACCACTTATCAGGGATGTTTTGGTGATGGATTTCCTGCATTTGGCATGACTTGGACTAAACCAATGTTTCCCACCCTTGGCAACTTCCAGATGTGTCAACAAGCTCCCAGAATTCTCATCAATGGCCATGTTGGCTGTGGAATCCTGAGATTTGAAGTCTGCACATCTGGAAATTGCCAAGGTTGGGAAAAAATGTACTAGACAATCATTAAGGAACCTTCAAAACATATGATTCTGTGACTCCAACCTGCATTCTTTGGATAAGGCTCTTCTACAGGACCCCTGTTGCAAACCATCTATCCTTAAACTTAAGAAAAATTTAGGAAGGATGAGTTAGGACTGGAGACTTTCCTAGTAAGACATTTTCCTGAAACAGGTATGTTTTTTAAAATATCAGCTATTCCAGAAAATGGGGGAAAATCCTATCTGAAACAGCCTGACCAGCAAATGTGATTTCTATTGAGAATTTTCAAAGGTTCCTACAAAGATTTCCCACTGAAGGATATTTGTTTGAGAATAAGAATGTGATACAAAGAGGTAGGCTTCCCTAACCTAGCTTTTGAGATAATAATTTCTATTATTCCCCACAACATGGTGGCCATGCTTTCTGAGGCTGATGGGAATTTTAACTCCAAAAATCTGCTGGACATTAAATTGTGGAAAAAAAGTCACACAGAATTCAGAAATCAGTATCCATAACAAATGATAAACATATTGAATGGGTGTTACTTTTTCCCTCTTACAAATTTGGGCGAGTTTCATAAAAGAGGCTGATGTCAACAATATGTAGATTTTCCTCTTCCTATTATGCATCGGATTATCCACACACAGTGACTCATTTGAAAGTTTTGTGAGTAAGCAATACAACAGTCTTTTTTATTTTATTTTAATTTTACTTTTTTATCTTATTTTAATTTTATTTTTATATTATAAATGACATGAGCACTAGCTTCCACAAAAACCACGAGGAAACAGTCTGTTTGGAGAAGGCACTCTTGGTGCTTCTGGAGCTATCAGCCCACCTGCTGTTGCCTTCCTGATCTCTCTTCAATGGATACCTGGTACATATTCGGACGTGAAGGGAAAAGTCTGAATTCCCCCAAAACAGACATATTATTATTACACAGTGCATGCATATTCAAGGGAGTTCCAGCAGGTTCAAAACAGTTAATCTGATTATTGAAGCACCACAAGGTTGGACTGGTGACCATGTATCCTCTAGGCTTTGGGTATGTCCCCATCCTTTTCATATCAAACATCTCCAAATCTCTTAGCAGCACAAAGTGCAGTGGAACTAGAGGCCTGAACTTCCTTCAGAGAATAAAAAAATGTAAGTGTTAGGAAGGAGATTAACCTCGACCCAGTGCAGGAGTCCACTATCACAGCATCCCCATGAGATGGCCATCCAGTCTGTTTAAATACCTCCAACAAAGGAGAGTCCACAACCCCCTGAGGCAGTCTGTTCCACTGTTTCTCACTTTTTTGAAGATCAGAACAACACTAGCCCTTTCCCAGTTTTCTGTGCCCATCCTACAAGATATTTCAAAGATCACAGAAGTGAACTCTGAGAAGACAATTGCAACCTCCTTCAAGAGTCTTGGAACTGGTTTGGTAATGGAGACTTAAAATTGTTCAAGATAGTCAGGTGTTCCCAAATCTTCTCTTTACTTAACTTGGATTGCTACTCCTTTGTCAAATGTTTTGCTTAGGTCCGTTACCAGCAAGTTATCTGCAAAATCTAATTTTCCCTAAATTGAGAATCACATTCTTTAAAGCTAGATTCAACATTCTCCCATCTGCACTTCAAGGCAGATCTAGTAAAATTCCATCTGCCCACGTAGCAATGAGGAAGTTGAAACCATCTCACATGTATTTTTACGTTGTAAATTTTATAGGGATATTAGGTCAACCTATATTTTGCTCTTAACAGATAAATTTCACAGGAGACCAGATAATTTTTATGTGAACCGTCTTCCTCAGGATTTAAAACCATACATCACATGTGAAATAGCTAATTCTGTGTTGCTGCAATGAAAGAAGAAACCAGTTAAAGACGTAATCACTTTTGTTTTAGATATTACTTTTGGTTTGATATATTTTAATTAATAAAATGCCAGGGGATACATATTTTTATTTTACTAGTGATTTATTTTACTAGTTGTTACTAAATTATTCTATATATTTGCTTTGTTTCAATCTGTTTTTGTCCTTTTAAATTTTGCTGGTCATTGACCGAATAAAGATGATTGATTGATTGATTGCTTAGGTCCATCTGAACACACTCCCCTTAGGAAAAAGGCCAAAGCAGAATAGGAGTTGAGGAGCATTGTCCACTCTCTGTCACTTGTTACCATCTTACCAGCCTCTCTGAGTAACATGGTAGCAGGCTCACCCCTTCCTCTTTCTACTGACCCCATAAGCTCTTTTTGTTGCTTTTAGCTTTCCTTGCAAACCTATTTTCCTTTTGTACATTAGACTTTCTAACATTCTTTCTGCAGATATGAGTTACTTCCTGATAACCTGTTTGGTAGATACATGCTACTTGCTGGCATACCCACCTTCTATTCTTTGTAATAACCCTTTTAGCCCAATTAAACACTTCTGCTTCCTAAACTGTCCCCTGGTTTTCTCTCATTGAATGGTGTGTGATTATACAGTACTTCCAGCATCTCATTTTCAAGACTTTCCCAACCCTTCTGCGCTCCCTTTGACCAGAAAATTTCAGTCTATGGGATCCTCCTACAACTTCAAGTTGGTCAAAATTGGCGTCCTGAAATCTAGTGTGCATATATGATTATGTTCTAATTTCTCTTTCTGTAATGTTCTGAACTCCAAAATGACTTGATCACTTCCCCCAAGGTTCCAACTGCCTTTACCTCTTCAACCAGCTCTATCCTACTGGTTAGAATTAAATCCAGCAGATCCTCTTGTTTATTCTTCAGCCTTCTGGAAAATGAAACTATCAGCAAGATCACTAAGAAATTTTGGGAAACTTGACATCTTGACTTCTCCAACCAATGTCTGAATCTCCCATTATCACTAGGTCTCTCCTCCACAAACGTTCTGTAATATGGCCCAGGAGACCATTATCTGGACCTTCTGTCTGGTTTGGTAGTCTATAGCAATCCCCTTCCCTCCCCACACACAATATTTTTTTTCCTCTCTTTCTTGTATTCTTGTCCAAATACTCTCAGCTTGGCCCTTATGCTCAAATTCCTGGATTTACATCACATGCATGCATTTCCTTCACATATAAGGCCATGCCTGCTCTACTTTTGCCGGCCTTTCCCTTTGGAATACGTTGTAACCTTCAATCCTTGTACTCCACTAAAAAGTTTCATCCTTTACACGGTCCTGTTTGATAATGCATGGAATAAAAGCTCATGGGGGCTGGGAATGATAGGAAGTGTAGTCCAATATAGCTGGAAAGTATCAGGCATGGGAAGGCTAATTTACTGTTTCCGGAGTTTACAAATTACACTGTGGGGAAAGAGCAGGGATCTCTTGGGTGTGTCCAGTTCAAAAATGAGTATTTGGATTACACTGATGTTGGGTTGTCTGCATCAATAGTTGAATTATTTTGGAAGTTTCCATAGTGATAGGTGACTCATTAGAATGGAGAAATAGTACAAGATGAAAGACATAAAAAGGATGTGAGGAAGACATTCAGTACTGAACTAGTAAGCTGTTGCCTACATTTATTTGCAGCATTACAGAAGTGATCTGCTATTGCTTTTCTTCCAGTCCCTGGATTTCCAATCTGTAGCTCTGGGATTCCTAGATGGCCCCCCATCCAAATATTAAACAATGCTGGCTTTGCTTAATAATCCAATAAAATAACCTGGGAGCCGGTTATGAAAGAGATCTGTTGCCTGACAGTCGTGGTTAGTCATTACAGATCCATTACCAGGACAATTTCTTATGTTCTTTGCTATCACAAAGGCTTCCTACATTTCCCAGCAATCATCCTGGATGAGGATAATGGGTGTTATATATTCCAACACATCTGAAAGGCACCAATTTGGAGAAAGTTCTCCTTAATAGCTCACATCCTATAAAATCTAACATAAACTGCAAATGCACAATTATGCACTCGTCTGGACTACCACACCAAATCGGGTGCAAATATCCGGGCAACCACGGAATACAGCGAACTCTAACTCTTTGCTGCCATCCGGTGGTCATCGAGATTTTCCCATCACCGATTTGGCCCACAGCTCCCAGAATTCCTTGCCTGCGTGAACAATGACAAGGCTAAACAGGAATTATGGGGGTTGAAGTCCAACGGCCTCGTAGCTTTAACTTCGGCATAAATCAGCAGCCTGCTCAAATCATTTAACGATGGTGTCATTTAGCAGCGGCTAAGAATGCTACGCACGCACAGAGATCCCGTATCCCTGTGGCAAAGCGATATCTACCAACTGAGTAGACCACTCCATGAACTATGTGATGATAAAATAAAATCTCCAAAACGGTGATCAGGACCGGCGGGGGGGCTAGAAAACAGCTTAATAAATGGGAGAAAATCCTCAGAAAAATGGGGAAACGACGGATCTGCAAGCGTATAAGGAACGCTGTGCCCACGCACCCCCCAGCGGACGGGCATATAGCACTTTCCCGCCTCGCGCGTGGACGAGATGAGGCGGTGCAATGACGGAGATTTCTGATTGGCCACTTTCACCGCCCGTGAGTCTGAAAGGAGGCCCTACGCGCCGCCCTGCCGGAGTTGCCACGTCGGTTGAGTTGCGCCTGCTCATACTCGCGCCTGCGCGCTGAGAGGTTAGCCGGAGCTTGCCTAGAAGCCGGTAGGTGGGGGAGCGGAAGAGTACGCGCGAGGGAAGGAGTCAGTTAGGGGTGAGTGAGTGACATACACGCGAGTGGTTGGGGGAGATTGTGACGAGGGAAACAATCCGCAGGAAAAGCGGGGGCTCTGGTGGGTGAGACTCTTGGCCGCGGTGTTTGCTTTCCCAGCAGGAGGGTGCGCTCGCCGGGAAACAAGAGCGCCTCTGACCATGTGCAGAGCGCTTTCCTTTCCTCAGGGCTGAGCTTGTCCTCACTAGCGCCTCGAGCAGCTCCTCCTGATCGCGTGAGGGGAAAGTTTCGAGTTTGCTGAAGGGTCCAGGCAAGCGCCGTCGTTTGGGCGAAGAATCCACGGCTAATCCGAGACTCCTCCGGGGTCGCCGCGGAGCAGAGGGTCGGTGAGGCGGCGTCCTCGTCCTTCGAGGGTCTGAAGCCTCCCGGGTGGCCTTTGGGGCCGAGAGTCTACTCCGGGCTGCCAGGGAGCCCCGCCCCCGCCAGCCTGGAAGGCATCCTGGTCTGGTAGGGTGAACCTGGCACGCGAAGGTTTAAATCATCCTTAAAAACTGTAACGACAAGGCTCGTTAGTTGCTTTCTCTCTCTCTTTTCACAGAGGCTTAAGAATCCAAGGGCAGCCGGACTTTTAAATGCTCGCCTCTGGTCTCTTTGTAATATTAGTGTGCATGGGTAAATCACATAATGCGAGTCTAGGAAAAGCAAGTTTCCCTGTCGTTTTCTGTTCTTCTAATAATTAGTTTTTACATAACTAGTTGACTCCCAAATAATTGTCAAATAAGAATGCAAAATTACACTAGGCCATTTCCTTGTTTACTTTCTCCACCTTTTCCCTTGCTTGTGCACACATGAGTTGCTTCCATGTCCTGCAATAAAAGTGTTGCATTTGAAGGGAAATGTTCCTGTTTCAGGAATATTCTTTTATCTTGTGCTGGTAAATTTTGAGAGAAAATCTTACAGACAATGGCCAATATCCTAGAAATTTCTTTCAGATTAGAATTTTTTAATTTCTTACAAATATGTACTCCTCCCATGACACATCATAAGCCACTTTTAAAAGAGCACTTGGTTTCAAAAGTTGCATGGAAATTTGGCAATAATTAAACATTGCTGAAGTAACTGCTTTTGCGGTCCTTCAGTTCTGATCTTTATATTTGGCATTCTGTAATTAAGATAAACTCTTCATGTCTTGCTTGTAATCTTCTGGGACTACATTTGCATTCTTCATTCTGTAGTTGGTTAGATGTCTGGGTTGTAGCAAACCCACTCCTGACCTCCCCCCTCCCCATTTTACATGAGATGCTTATTTAAAGAGTTGCTAAGAATGAGAGTAAACTATTTCTTAAATTCAAGTTCAGTTTGAAAGGTTGTCTGAATGTCAAACCTTTTGTGCTTTACTGGTGGTGATTAAAGGAGGAATGATGAAGTCATCTTACCTACTTCACTGTCCTCTCAAATATCGCTACCATAAAATCTCTCTCAGCCTCCGTTCAGTGGTCTTCAAATGCAGTGGACAAAATTTTCAGACTTCATTCCCAAGCAACAGTCAAAATCTGTAGTTTCTGAAGAAGCCTGGACAATCAGAGGTATTTACGGGATGGGGGAGGTCATGGCAAATGATGAAAGGAGCTTCATGACATAAGCACTTCCGTTTTGTATATATGACATCACACACACATACAAAAGGAGTGTAGCTTATGGTGTGACATTTTCATTATTTTAACAAAAGCATCAGTTCCTGTAGATGCCATTAATGCATCAATTTCTGTCATTTGCATAAAGACATTGTTGAACATGTATGTGTGCATATGAACTTTCTCCAGGGATATTATTTAAATTTCTAGGTTGCCAAACTCCAAATGACTCTGGGCAGCTTCAGAAAATTAAAAACAACAGTACTGTACAAACAACAAACCTCCATAAAACTGAACATTCAAGGGAAAAAAAACCATCTGTCTATATCCTCAATTCACGAGGCCTGTCCATTTAATCAGGGTGTATAGGTATCTTGGATTTGTGCTCTGATTATACTAATCAGAGAGTGCATATCTGTGATGGCCTAATCAAGATAAATGCATATATGTTTCCTGTCTGTCTGTGTGTGGGGGGAGGTATTAGGGTGGGTGCATACATGTTGCATCTCACTGTGTGTGCTTCTCTTAGTTGTGTTCTGTGTGTGAAAATGTGTGTACTGGGATGTATGGGAAGAGCTGCATATGCTGTGCTCTGGATCATATGATGAAGAAAGGCTTAGAATGGAGGAGATGGCACTGTACTGAGCTACTGTCTCCTATAGGGCTGCATTGGGAATTTTTTTCTGGATTTCTTTTCTTCCCATAGTCTTTTTGAACTCAGTCTTTGATTGGTGTCTCCTACAACACAAAATGTTATCCTAATCTGTTTTCAAAGGTAGATAGTCCTAACTTCTTCAGAGGTAGATAGTAATATTTTTCCAACATCCTGATGGGTTGGAAAGAATGAAAATGTAGTCCTGGGTAGAAGTAAATCCCTATTGGTTCAGAGAGGCTTACTCCTAAATAGGTGAGGAATAAAACTGCAGTCTAACATTTTTTTAACACCTTCAAGTTATCGTTGACTCTTGGTGACTGCCTGGAAAGTCCAGGCAGCTTTCTTGGCAAGATTTTCAGAAGTGGTTTACTGGGGCTGAGAGAGAATGACTGGCCCAAAGTCACCCAGCTGACTTTGTGCCTAAGGCAGGACTCTCTGGGTTTCTAGCCTAGTGCCTTAAGCCACTACACCAAATTGACTCTCAGTTTAATATTACAGTTGCAATCAAAATTATTCAACCCCCATTGCAAATCAGGTTTATTGTCAAAATGTACAGACTTTCAGCTGTTTGCAATGAACAAATCAAACAAAAGCAATTGAAATAGCTCAACACAATGAATGCTTCAAGTGGTTTCCCCAAATTCAACTGAAAATGCAACTTATAATGACTTCTCCAGTCTCAAAATTATTCAACCCCCATTGCAAATCAGGTTTATTGTCAAAATGTACAGACTTTCAGCTGTTTGCAATGAACAAATCAAACAAAAGCAATTGAAATAGCTCAACACAATGAATGCTTCAAGTGGTTTCCCCAAATTCAACTGAAAATGCAACTTATAATGACTTCTCCAGTCTCAAAATTATTCAACCCCCCTCACAACAGCACAAATATGCAAAGCAGGTGTTGTCTCAAGCACACCTGATGCAACTAATGAAGCCCTTGATTAGTTGCATCAGGTGTGCTTGAGGTGGAACACATGAAATACCGGAACTGGCTAGGGGTTTGTTGAGTGTCACGTTTGACTGCATATTAGAAATATGGCTAAATCAAAAGAATGGTCCAAAAAGCTAAGAGAAGAGATCATTGCCCTTCACAAACAAGGAACAGGATACAAAAAGATAGCGAAGGCACTGAATGTTCCTAGAGACACCGTTGGAAGCATAGTTTGCAAGTTCAAAGTGAAAGGAACAGTGGTTGCACTACCTGAACGGGGCAGAAAAAGGAAACTATCAATGGCTGCAACCAGATTTCTGAGAAGGCAGGCTGAGAAAAACCCTCGAGCAACTGCAAAAGACCTGCAACAAGGCTTGGTGGCAACAGGCACTGAGGTGTCAGTGAGCACAGTAAGGCACATACTAAATGCAGGTTTCCATGCCAGAACTCCAAGACGTACACCACTACTGACCCAAAAGCACAAGAAAAGT